CAGTTGCATGAGGATCCATGAATATTGAGAGTGTAGCTGATGTGTATTTTGAAGAAGTGGATGTTGTGTGGTAAGTAACTGTTGTTAATATATTAACAAAAGAATCCATAGTTTTGGTACTACAGCAGTTTATTGCTGACAGTTTTTGAAGTGTTACTCTTATATTTCTGAATTTTAAAACTTCCTGTTTCATTCCTGCCTTGAAAGATATTACAAGTTAAAAAGAACAAACTTAGTCCGAATGTTATCAGTGCTAACAGGATAGAGAAAATATTTTTTGTTGAAACTTTGTTGTTGTTTGTTTGTTTGTTTCTCAAGTAAAACTATGAAAGTTGATGATCATCCTTAGTTCTGCATTTACTGTAGTGAAAAAATAAATTAAGGCCTGCAAACAAAAGTCAACATGTAATTTCTGTAGCAATAACAATACCAAGAAAATTTTAAGTCAGCAGCTTTTAGTATGGTGAGGATATGGGTTGAAGGAAGAAAATATGTGATTCCGATGCCGGTAAGTGATCTACAACTATGAAAGTTGATGATCATCCTTAGTTCTGCATTTACTGTAGTGAAAAAATAAATTAAGGCCTGCAAACAAAAGTCAACATGTAATTTCTGTAGCAATAACAATACCAAGAAAATTTTAAGTCAGCAGCTTTTAGTATGGTGAGGATATGGGTTGAAGGAAGAAAATATGTGATTCCGATGCCGGTAAGTGATCTACAGAAAAGTAACTTGTGCACGTCTTATCCCAAATGAGTGTTGAATTTAACTGAGACGTTTCTTATTACAAGCTCCTGGTATTTCTGCCAGTACATGGTTTCTTGAAAGCACTGAAACATTTTGACAGTCTAGTTTAGCAGTATAAATGGAGAACACTGCAGGCTGCTGAAGCCTCTGAGTTTACTAATCTTACATTCAGATGGTTCATTCTTCCTCCTCTAGTTTTCTTGTGTTTCAGACTTGTCCTTTTTCTTTCTTCTACTTCAGCTTCACTGATGGCCATTTACCTCTCTCTTTTAGACCCTTTCTGTGGCCTTGAAATCGATGCTCTTTTAAAAAGTGTTCTCTGTGTGTGTGTGTGGGGGGGGTATTCTGTGTGTGTGTATGTACATGCACACATACAAACATATATAGAGAGGACTTTTTTTTTTTTTTTTCAAAAATATTCGTAGCTCTGTCTTTTTTTCAGTCCCCATTGCTATTTCAGCGCAAATTATGCCCATCCTCTGAATGTCTCTTTATCTTGTATATGCATATTGAGCACTCCATCCTTCAAGGCCTATATTCTACAACAAGAAGTAGGAGTTGCTCGGGATGGATTAAAAGTACAGGCACTTGTTTAGACAGACTCTTTAAAGAGTTGAGTGTTTTAAAACTTTATTGTCTGAAAGTCTACCCCATTTCCTGTCAAAGGTTACTTCTCCGTCACAGACCAGGAGAGGGGAAAGGTTTTGTGCTAGGGTGCCTGAGGCACAAGTCGACATATGTGGGCAGTTTTGATTAATTCTCCAGTGAAAATGCTGGTTTGACCCGTCTCTTATTTGTTCCCACTTGATTGTACAGATCTATTTTAGTATGGTTGCCTTATGAACCATATCAAAGTATTCATCTGACTGAAACTCTTTTCTCTGTCATTTTTCAGCCTGCTCCATTCACCATGGAGCCACAGGAACAACTATATTGATAAAACATTTATCAGTGTGAGGGCTGGACTGTTCAGCAAGACAGGGACTGCCTAAGAAACATCCTGATCACTGCCTATAGCTCAAAACACCTGTGAAGCTAAAATGCTAGATAAGATGGTGTTGTTATATGTGAATCTTTCTGTTGACTTCAAGGAGGATGGTAACTTCTGGCAGGGGAACAGGAAGAACTGTGGAGAATAGTCATATGCTAAATTAATATAGTAAAGTTTTTCCTGAAACTCATCACTTTCATTTTGGGTCATATGATTATTTACTGTGGAAAGCATGAAAAATGATGTATGTGGGCTGCACATACTAATTTCTGTTTCTCCGTTGCCTTAGGCTGAAGCAATGGAAAAATAGAAATTAGTGAGCTGTTTCCTACTTTAATCAATTTTCATTTAAGATACCTGAGGTTAAATCTTACAAAATGATTAAGCTGGTAATTTTAGAGCTAAAGATGTAAAATGCCAAATAGAGTAGCTTTGGGTCATGCTCTCTTAGATTTCAGTAGCTCCCCTAGATTTAAGGGCAAGTGTGGTTTGTACCAGAAGCCTGGAGGCATGGGAAGAGGCTCATATTTAAGTCACACGCATGCAGGTGTACCTTAAACTGTTGAAATTGTTTCCTGTTCCAAGTACATTGTAATTACTAATTTGGAAAGGGTTCTTTTTTCAGTAGTTGGGATCTTCAGCACTCCATTTCTCAAAGCCTATTCTAATAACTGGGGGCAGGATGGTTTGGTGTCCTCTAAGGTGTACTTGCTGACTGAAACATGCTGAGCATGGTAACATTGTATATAAATACTTAGTGCAAATTACTCATGATGCAGGTTTGGTCATCTCTGCCCGAGATAGTGATGATGTCCCTGTTGTTCTGTTGTTTGGGTAGTTTTACTTTATAACTCCTTTTCTTTGGTACAGCATTGGATGCCTCCCTGGAGTGCATCCACTCTTTCATTTGATTTGATATGCCAGTAAAAGATATGACCTGTCCCATTTTCCAGAGATGAAAGCAACTGATGATTCCAACACAGAAGATGTAGGAGTATGGCAGATAACTGCTGCAGTAATTGGTATGTGACTCCAGGTGCGTAAATTCTTTACCCAGTGGAGTAGTAAAAGGGCTGATGCAGGCTCTTAATTCAGCTGGAATACCAGGATGGCTGCCTTGTAAAGGCTGAACAGGTTAGCTCATCAGCGTTGCAGTGCGGTGTAAAATAGCTTTGGAAGGTGTCAGTGCATCCTCACTACAAATGAGTGTGTTCTAGTCTGTGCTAAATTGAGGTGGGGTTTTAGCCATGCTGATGATTGAAAAGCTGTCATATTTTTTTGTATGAGGGTGATGGAGATTTGGAATAAGGAAATAGTACCTTACTCCAATAGTGTGGAGGAATTATTTACGACAAAATCATGTAACCTAATTCCAGACAAGTCATGTATGGACAAGCTCTGTATGTCAAAAAAACCTGTTGCTGTCTTTACCGCATTGCTTGTGTTGCATTGCAATTAGAATGAGAATACAGAATTTATATTTCATCAGTGCCTTTAAGTTGAGCAATTTTAATCCGTGCTATCTAACTAAGATTGATGATAGAGGACTGCAGTTACACAAGTTAAGTCATGCTGCTGTCTTTCCAAAGTTTGCATGGTATTTCTTTTCAAGATGCATCTAAGTTCCTATTAATATATGGAACAGGGTTTAAGATTTGAATGAAGATACTAATTTATGGTCATTTCCCTGCAATTCAGTGAATCAGAGGAGTGTGTATTTGTAAATGAAGAAAAAAAAAAGTAAATTGCACTTCCGCTTTCTCTTTGAAGTTGTGTTTTTTCTTGCAAAGAAATGCACTCACATTTGTGTACTAAAATGCTTTAGAGGTTGGAGAACAGAAGAGTGTTGTTTATGGTGCAACTTTTTTGAAGATAGGCTAAGCATGGGTCCAAGGGGGAAAAGTTTTACAGTTACTTCTGCTTTTCCTATTAAATGGTTAATGATTTTAATGATTATTATATAATGCTCCAGCACCCTGGATTTCATCTCAGTGAGTACAGTTCTGGCAGCTCCTCTTAAGCAGCAGCATCTCCCTTCACAGTGATGGGTCCATTTCTGTCACTGTTACATGTTAGCCATTCCAAAACCTGTTTTCTTTAAGTGGCATGTGTGAATTTGTGAAAATGCAGTTTGCAGTTTAAACTCCTCACAGGGTAACCGGTCACCTACACCAAGGAATCCCAGGAGCAGCTGTGCAGAGTTTCTCCTTCCACCTCTGACCTCTTGGCAGCTTTTTTTTTTTTTTTTTTTGGTGTTGTTGGGGATGGGCTTAACCTGGGTGTTTGTTCACAGAGGGAATAAATATTTATTAAATGTTTATTAAGGGAGTGAAAAAAATTCTTCAGTGCATTCTCAGTTCTTTTAGGAACTCTTTAAAAATACGCTTAATGGAGCCTTGTAAATCTTTTTACAAAGATTTACACAGAGAAAGCTGGATCCAAGTAGAAGTTAGTTTCTAAAAGCGTGCTTTGCTGGTTCGTTCTGCCCCCTTTCTGGAGGCTGGCGCGGGTTGGCACTGCCGCGGCGCCAGGCCCGGGCCGCGGGCCGGGCGGCGGCGAGGGCGTCCG